CGGTATTAAGCCGAGCTTATGAGCTTAATGTTTTGGGTCGTGTTTTCTTAGTTCGTTAAAGCTAATTACACCGGGGATTGTGAGAGCTTGTTCATTGTGCCYTTTGTAGTTAAGATTTAGTTAAAGAGCTTATTTTAGCTAATGTCTAATTAAGTGAAAACATAGGTTGTTAGAKCTTATTRACAACTATAATCGGCTTAATCTTGTCCTATTCCTTTATAAATTGYGAAATCAATGATAAGTGTTCAACATCATTATTGAGGGTGGTCTAATGTTGGGTTTTTAATTTCTTGCATTTTTATAAGTTTTTCATTTTCATGCCTAGCTTAATTAATCAAATCCAACCCCCCCCCCCCTTTTCGTATTTATTTTATTTGTTCGTTCTTGTACTTGAATTTGGTGGCTATAACAAGTTAAAACTGAGTCTCTGTGGATACGACCCGACTTACCGCTATTACAATTTTGGTTGTAAATTAGCTTGTAGTTGGAACTTATTATTTGGTGGACTCGGCATCCGTCAGTAATCATTTTTTTTTCATTTTTTTTAAATCAACTTAACTAACATAATTCATCAGTAACAATTCAAATAACTAACGTTATCCTTGTCATCTTATCCTTCTTTTATCTCATACAAACCAAATATGTTGGTTAATTTGATTCAATCCGAATAAAATTAATATATTCTCATATTTATAGTATAAGTTGCAATATCTATGACATGAGATAAACAATTTTTTTTATTAACTTGGATATTCAATCCGCTATGCGAGCCGATTAATCTTAGTATGACCACCTATTTTGCAGGTAGCATAGAGTCACCGCATTTGAATCTCCGTAGCCACAAGAAGATTTTTGTTTCTCCTTGGATTTGAACCTGGAATCTCCTGATATTTTTGACGTTTGAAACCAAGCTCAAAACAATCAAACACCACTTTATGGTTGGGTTAAACAATTATTAGCATGTGATGAATTTCCCTCTAAGAATAGCGCTCTGGCCATGTGTTCATTACCACTTCAATTAAGACCTCAACAAAGCTTTCTTTAAGTCAAAGCATCTTAAATTAAAAAATATATATGAAATTATAAATGCCTATTGTTGTCTCTAATACCTTTGGCGCAATTAGTTTACAAGCTTAATATATATATATATATATATATATATATATATATGTATATATATATATATATGTATATGATATTGACATAAGTACCAAATGAAGTTGAACAAGTACCAAATGAAGTTGAACAAAGTACCTAATCATCATTCGATTATGACCTTTTGCAATAGATATAATCCCAAAGAGGTATGAATGCAACAATTGCAAGGTTGCTTTCCTGCAATTAAAAAATGTTGGAGGTTACAACTCCACATGCTGCTTCCGTACAATATGTAATCATGGCTGATCCGGTGAACACAAATAAGGTTATCTAAATCTAAAGTTAAGTGGCTATCAAAATTAATACAACTTGAAAAGCAAATTCCACAAAATTGTGATTATTAGGATCCACAATTACAAACAACTACGATTGTAGGAAACAAAATTGTGAAGTCAAATCTTTTATTAATGTTGTTCAACAATAAGACTCGAATTAAACGTCATGCAAACCGTCCTCGGCGACAATGCTCGAAAAAGATTGCCGATTTCCGATTCATAAAACAAGGTCACCACAATCAAAATTAGCCATCTTAAGGAAAGCATTAGCAGTGTAGCTAGAAAACCATACTTTTCTCAAGAAACTCATCATTTTCCCCTTGCTCTCTTGTATAAACCCCACACAATAAGCAACACTAATGAGCCTAAAGCTTCTCCATCTCCTATCCTTTCTATATTTCTCCAAACCCTTTTCGATTCTCTCAAATTCATCATCTTCTTCGTTCGATTTCTTCAAAAACGCCTCCCCGAGGCACCTTCCAAGCACCACGGAATCTTCTAGAGACGAACATCCGCCTTGACCTATGTCGGGAGTCATGGGATGAAGAGCATCCCCCGCTACGCAAACATTGTTCTTTACTATGTTGCCAAATAAAACATTCCATGGCAATCTGAACTTTAACTGTGCACAAGAGAGTTTATCTAGCGGTGTTCTTTCCACTACATTTTGTGCTTCTTCAGGCATCTTGTCGATTTGACTCAAGACGAATTGTTTCATTTTGATCGGGTTCTCTGGCCAATCTTCTTCGTCTATAAGATCACAACAAAATCCCTTTAGTAAATCAGTATTTATAAATCAAACCAATTTAGTATATCTCACACATACGTAGTAGTAGGTATGTGCATTACAACAAAATCAACTTTATAGAACGTCAAATATGTCTAGATGTCATAATAAACTGCTCTATATGACTTATAGGAACAAACAATTGTTCACATGTAAAAGTGTTACAATTAGGGATGAGCAGCGGAACCGGGTACCCACTTGCGGAACCAGAACTGCCTTGGAACCGCCGGTTTCGGAACCGGAACCGATATGAGTGGTTCCGGTTCCTAAAATACGGAACCGATGGTGAATGGTTCCGGTTCTCAATTTTTCGGAACCGTTACCCACCGGGTACCCACCATAACTGGTTCCGGGACCAGGTACCCAGAACCGGCGGGTACCCGGTATTTTTCAATTAAAAAAATAATTAATTTTCTTTTAATACTAAATTTAAATTAGGTCAAGAACTCTAGATTAGACTTTTGGTCCCGCCTCTACGCCTCATACTCTTGGGCCTGAGGCCTCTCACCGTGAGAATTTAAAACGAGATTCAAAATCATCGCAGTCACAAGATAAAATGATTCGTATTTTTTTAAATTGTGTGTTTAATTGGATACGTAGTATATAATCGTTAAACATTGAATATTCACAATTATAGCATGTAATCGTTAAACTTTCAACATTTCCTATTAGTCTATTATGATTTGTAATTGTTAAACAATATTTGTAACCATTATTTTGTATACTTTGTATTTTTGTTTATTTATTTAGTGTTTTGGCAATGTTTTATTCTTTATTTCTAAATAACAAAATTTTAATATTTTATAAAGCGGGTACCCGGAACTGGAACCGGTTCCAAAAATTCAAAAACCGCTCTAACCGGTTCCAATATCTCAAGAACCGCCGATTCCGCTTCCGGTTCCTGTCAAATAAGATGGATACCCGCCTATGCTCACCCCTAGTTACAATAAGTTGATCAAACGCTTTTGAACATCCTAACAAGTTTTTTAGACACTTTGGAAATTCAATATCATATTAGTCTTTTTACATTAAGTTGTCTGAATAGGTGTTTTATAAAAACAAGCTAAGTATCTTGTAAAAAGATGTGTTTATAAAACTAATAAGAACATTTTATTCCAAAACTGGTCTATATATAAAACTTGTTAGTACACCCAAAAACATTCGTATCAGTTTATCGTAACATTTTTTTGTAAAATTTTCAATTATTTCTTCCTATAAAGCTTAAATTCTATAAAACAGTCTGTTCGAATTGAACATTAGATTTGTTGCAGATACGCATCACAAGAGAAAGGCTTACAAGATGGAACTTGAGACGGGGTGAACGTGCAAAACCAGTATACGGTCTTTTCATCGATTGGAAGAAATCCAAAGCGTACGCCGCCTCCAAATTTAACATGGAACATAGGATCGAATCCGGTGCCATTCGGGAACTCCACCAAACCACGTATAGCCGATCTTCCAACGCTAACTGGTGTCCCTAGACCCAACCATTTCGCGACCACCGAGTTAACTCCATCACACCCAATCAGCACCTACATTCATACAACTTATATCAAAGATGTACCGACTCGTGGTTCCGAACTAGCTACGACGGTTCGAACCAACTACCTTGGTTTTAAGAATGGACCCATCGGCTAGGTGCACCAATTTGAACCGGCCGAGCTCATCGATGGTTGCAACCTTGGAAGAATATCTAATGGTGCCTGGTGGCAACTCGTTCACCAGTGTCTCTAGTAAATCCTTTCTCCTAACGCATCGGCTTTCATAACCCTCACTACAATAATATTTTCGATTACAATCAAAACCCGAAACTTTTGAGGACTAAAATGTGAAAAAGACAAATTTAATGGGTTAAAAATGTAACTCACAATTTTCCATCTTTGTCAAGTGCTGTTTCTGAAGTAAAAAGACCCGTATCAGGAGACGCGATCTTCAACCTGCAAACCACAATATTGACTTCAAAACCCTGAAGTTGAAAGTACCAAAACAACCCTACTAGGTGTTGTCTTAATGACAGCTTTACCCTTTCATTTGAGTGGACCTTTGTCTGAGAGAGTTCCCAATTCCGACGGCATCCATCGCCCTCCAACCATTTGTCCATAATGTAAGGGCAAATCCGGTAATTCGCAATCTCTCTGACGACTCCAGTACCAAGCTCCTCAAACCCAACCTTCACAAGAGGTTAAGAGGGAAAAACATAGTTATATATATATATATATATATATATATATATATATGTTTTCTATAATTATATTAAAAAATGACATTAAAAGGGAAGAAAAATCAAATATTGCGTTATAAAACTCGCACGTTAGACTATGACGTGCCATAGACAAAAATGATCTTGAACCACGACGGCTGTTACGACAAGCTTTTGAAAACACGGGTTGTAACTCAATCCATCATTGTAGAGGGCAAAAGTTCCATTTAATAGAGTGCATTAGTGAAAGAAAGAAAGAAAGAAAAGCCATATGGTTAATTGGTTAAGGTACCTGTGAAGGGATAAAGCTGTGGTGAGACCAGCTAAGCCAGCACCTACTATAACTATATCTACACCTTCATAATTACGCTCCATCTTCAATTGATTGGTTTAATTTCTGAGCTTAGGTTTGTAGAGATAAAGTGATGGGGTCTCACCATATATATATATAATATGTAAAAGAAGACGTGAGTCGATAAAACACTTACTTTCGCAACTTGTATTATGACGCAGGCCATGAGATATGAAATATCAAATATGGGTAGGGCTATTTACATCCACCACAATCTATATCATTTTAATTAGAAGTATAATTCTACAATATATTTTGATATATCTCAATTCTAATGTTTCGTTTTATATAAAATACGATTTTGTATGGTTTTGAAAAAAGAAAACGATAATTTTTTGATATTTGAATAAAAGATAAATTTGAAGACCCATAAAAGTTTCTATTGATATTAGATTTAATGACTGAATTAATTTATTTTAGAAGAACTTTCTAGTTCACTACAAAAAGGACGGTCATTGTCAATCTCAAAAATATGATTTTCAATATCAAAATATATAGAATAACTGTCCCCATTACTATCTTTAACTAAAAAAGTTATTATTTCATTAGACCGATGACCTTAGTTAATCCTATAATTCATATTAGCATCAAGTACCCTTTTTTGCGTAATTTTTTATCCTTGCTCTCTAATAATATAATGTTTTTTATAAAGATAATTTTGGTTCAATTTTTTTCTTATAATTTAATTTGAGTTTAATAATGAATTAGTTTATTTTAGGTTTGATGATATAATTTTTTTTTACAAAGATAATAATTAAGTATTTTATTAGAATTGAATAATTATTCTAATTATATTTGCATTTTTTATATTTAAAATAAAAGGTTTAGCTTATATTCATCTGCAATTAGTTATATGTTTTCAACCATGAAACTTTAATAAATTGTATTTATGTACAATTTACTTGTAATATTGAATTTTAATTAAATGATTTTTAATTTTTTTTGTCAAATGCTTTATAATATAGTATAGATAATTGTAATAATTTATATAAAGGAAGAATCATGCTAGAAATTGATCTATTTGTGAAAAGTTACAAGATTATACATGATTACATATCATATGAATACATAATTATATATGATATAACACGTCAAATAACGGTTGTGGACGATTTGGTGAATGTAACCAAAGGTCGTGGAAAAGTCGCTAGCTATATATATGCCGGTTGTTTATGCCAAAAAGATATTTCACCAAAACAACAATCATCACAACATGTGTTCATATCACATGTAATCATGTATGATTTTGGATTTCTCGCCTTCTCTCTTGAAGATGATCGTTATAGAGTAAATTATATATTTGTTCTCTATATTTGTCACTTACAATCAAGATTCATTAAATTTAAAATAATTACATTCTTCTTCATTGTGATCGTCTTTTTTTACATTTTCCTTTTTCACAGTGACCAACTCCAGTTTAAAAAAAAGTTCGTTAACTTAATGATATTTTGGTCATTTATTCTCCTTTTGTTTTATTAGAATTTTTTCTATTCTCTTGTTAATACACCCACACCTGTCGCCTGGAGAAAACCCTAACCCTTTCGGTCTTCTTCTTCCACGAAAGAAATCTAAATCTAAACAAAAACAAACCCAAAATAAAAAAAAAATCATATACTACTAGTTTGCTTGCTTGGATTTAAAATTATGAACGAATTTCTTTGAAATTCAAAAAAAGAATTTTTTTTTAAATATTTAAGGATAACAAAGATAATAATTTTTTTTTATTAACCTGGATATCCAACCCGCTATGCGAGCCGACTAATCCCAGGACGACCACTTGCTTTGCAGATAGCCCGGAGTCACCGCATTTGAACTTCCGTGGCCACAAAGGGATTTTTATTCCTCCTTGGATTTGAACTTGAGACCTCCTGGTACTTTTGACATTTTGAGTCAAGTTCAAACCAATTAGACACCACCCTTGTGGTTAAAGATAATCATTTTTTATTAGGGTTGAAAAAGAAAATGGTCAATTCAATCAACCTAATCCAAGAAAACTCAAATTGAGGCAACATGACATAGTTGACAAAAAATTAGGGCAAACCGTATCTATTAGATTGGAACATCATATGGTTAGGGTAATTTGAACTCAACCTAACCCGATGAACCCAATACCTTTCAATACTATGGATTTAATATGAATTTTAAGTCATTGATTAATATATGTAGTTATGTACATTAGACCAACTCGTAATTATTACAACTTCAAATGTAATTTTACTTTCTTATTTGCATGAATTTTTTAACTTATTTTGCGCTTGTTAGCCTTTCTTGTATGGTGTCATTTTGATTTTACTACGTTTTAACAAAACGTTTAACTAGATTGTAAAATAATGTACCAAAGTTTCAACCTGATCAACCCGAACACTGTATTGTTCATCCGTTGTATCGTCGAAAAACCTAGGGTCCGTGAAAGTGTCATCGTATCTATTTTGAAATTACAATGAAAACAAGTTTTATTTGGTAGAGTTGGTTTGCAAGGCTATTCTTCCAACCTAGACCCGAGTTCAAATTCTGTTAGTGTCATTTTTGTATAGAAAACATTTCCATATATTTGTTTCTTAGAGTCAATTGATACCGCATTTTGTTTACAGCTTCGTCCTTACGACCAACCCAACCCGCATGGGTTAGGTTGGGTTGTAGTACTAGGGGTGAACGCGGGTTGGGTTGGGCGGTTTACAACAACTTTACAACCCAACCCAATTATGGCAGTTTGGAAAATCTTAACCCAACCCAACTAATTCAAAAGTATAACCCAACCCAACCCAACCCTTGCGGGTTGAAGCGGGTTGGGTTGGGTTGGGTTGGCGGGTTAGTAGTTACATAATTTGATGAATGAAATAATTCATAAATCTTAAGTTTATAGATCATACTATAAATCATCATATCTAAAAATGTTGCAATAGGTTTATAGGACGTTTTTTGACGTTTCAACAAGTGTTTTAGAATGATCTTTAAATAAAATGTCGTATTAGTTATTTTTATAGAAACATTTTGAGAAGTGTCTCGTAAACTCATATATTTATAGGACACCTATGCTCATATGACATTTTTTCAAGTCGTGTTATATAAATTAACTAATACGACACTTTATTTTAAAAGCATCATAGAATTTGTTAAGACGTCCAAAACCATCCTATAAACATATTAGAACTCTTTTAGATAATATATTTTTCTAATGTAACTCTTTAAAAGCGTCATAAATTGATGGATTCGTCCATCAAATATATATCAATATCATTCATATTTTCCAACATATCAATTTGTAGTTGCTGCAAAAAAAATCAATAATTTTCCTTATTAATTAGATTATTTGTCATCATTCTTTGATCGTGAATCTCTTTTGCTAACCTATACGTTTAGTTAAAATGAAACAAAATATAATATCAATAAAAATTATATAAAATTTATGCATTATTAATATATATATATATATATATATATATATATATATATATAATTTTATAAAAATTATATATTAGCGGCGGGTTGACGGGAGTTCAACCCAATTTCAACCCTCCTAATTGGCGGGTTAGCGGTTTGGAGGGTGGACGGTTTGGCGGGTTGGGTTTAATGGGTTGTTAGCGGGTTGGGTTGGGCGGGTTTCGCGGATTGACTGTTTTTTGTTCACCCCTATGTAGTACTACTTTGAGATATGAAGTTGAGGTTTTGCTTAGAGTCGCCAATTGTGACCGTGACCATGGCCATCCCCCATTCTTTTATGATTCAGATCAAGCCTCCAATTGTTGACCACGGCCCTTTTTTTGTTTTCTAGTTTTATTCAAAAAATATAGTTTTTACAAGATATTAATTTAAATCTTTTTATGTTCATACGTAATTTTATGTGTTATTGTTAAAAATTTAGTTATTATAGTTAAAAATAATATGCGAAACTTCAATAAAATATTTAAAGAACGTTCATATACCAAAGAAGTATGTTTTAACACTAGAAGAATATACACGCAATGCAGCGAGATACATCTTGATTTTAATGTTTCATTTTATATATCAATGTTATAATGCGATTTTATGTGTTTTTAAAATATTTTTATTTTTAAATGAAATATAAATTTGAATATATCATAAAAACTTTAAAAAAATCGATATTAGAATCAAATTAAGTATTTAAAAGTTTTTTTTTGTGTAATTTCTTTAATTCAAATTTTTATTATAATTTAATTGAATTTTAAAAACAAACTAATTTATTTTTGGATTAATAAAATATTTTTTTAAGATAATAATTAAGTATGTTGTTGACCCTCAATGATTATCTTAATTATATTTTAGATTTTTTATATTTAAAATGATGTTTATCATGTATTTGATTATGTTTATCTGCAGTTAGTTATACGAATTCAAACATGAAGCTTTAATAAGTTGTACTTACATACAATCAACTTGTAATCTTGAATTTTAAGTAATATGCATCAATAAACAATACTTCCTATATAAAAAATTGTTTTCAAGAGTTTTTGCCAAATGCTTTATAATATAGTATAAATAATTTTGTTATAAAGATAATAACTAAGTATTATGTAAGTTATCAATGATTATCCTAATTATATTTTAGATTTTTTATATTTAAAATCAGATATTTATCCAATATTTGATTATGTTTATCTGCAGTTAGTTAGACGAATTCATGTATGGAGCTTTAATAAGTTGTATTTATGTACAATTTACTTGTAATCTTAAATTTTAAGTAATATGCATCAATAAACAGTACTTCGTGCATAAAAAATCGTTTTTAAATTTTTTTGTCAAATGCTTTATAATATAGTATAGATTACAATTTACAAATGGTTATAACGCAGTGGTTAAACCTCGGATTGATGTAGTGGAAAATCCTATCTACCACATGTTTGAAATTTAGGACACTACCAAATCCCTTATAGCCATGAAGGTTCACCTGTGATTACGTTAAGTCATTCGTGGCCACCCGAGCGACTAATCGGTGCGTGTAATATGACCCAGAAACCCACGATTATAAAATTATAAATATGTATTCAGAATCTAGAATAGCCAAAAACAATTTTGTTAATACCACATTGATAGACAGGTAAACAGATATTAATATGCATAAACCGATAAAATGGAAACTAGGCAGTAGACAATTAAGATCAACTCAGATAGTAGGAATGATGGTAACAGAAATATGCACAAATGAATATTATATTCAATCATAATCGAAGGTGTCTTAAAAAATTTGTTTCGACCCTTGTGGTAAAAGCATAAATTCCAAATAAGCTACTAGTATTCATACATATAACTTGTTAACACAATCAAACACATATCATGAACACGCAATTTTCTTTGAAAACGTATTTTAGTATCTATCTTGGTTTTTACAATAACACATGAAACTAATCTCTCAAATCTCATTTAAGACCCAGTTTGCTAGTTTTTTTCTTGCGTAACAATGACTATTTACTTCTCTAGAAGTCATATATAGACTTAGGGGTCATTTGTTTACCTTTTAATCTATTAAATCTCATTTAAGAGGTAAATGTTTAATTCTTTCAGACATTTTCTTGTTTGGATGGTTTTTTTTTAAAAGGATTTGAATGGTTCCACTAAATTTGAATCGCTCTTTCACCTATATGCTTACCATATGATTCAGATATGCAATTTTTCCATGTTTTCCCTCCCAATCGTCCCTAAACTCTCTTTCCTCTCGATCTCTATTCTCCTCTATACTCTCTCTTTTCAATCGACTGTTGGAAGCACACATCCCTAGGGTCTCTTTATGGTTGAATGTTTTTGATAGCTTCTATTTTGATCATTGATAATAAAATGCTTTTGATAGCTTCTACTTTTGATCATTGATGATAAAATGCTTTTGATAGCTTCTATTTTTGGTACCAAAGTTTATTGATAATTGGTGATAAAATGCTTTTGATAGGGAATTATACGAGATTTGATAAATGTAGTAATTGGTAGGATTTCAATCTTGATTTGCTATATCATTTGTAAGGGATGACATTGAGAAAGGCGAGGAAGAAGAAATTGATGCAACGTCTTGATGTCCTCGAGATGATGAATACATGGCTAATTTGCATAATGGGATTGCAAATCAATTGGTGTTAAATGCTTTGAATTAGATATTGTATACAAAATATTGTGTTTGAACTTGCATTTCATATTTGGTTTCTTTTATACCAAAACTTATGATATCATTTATTGGCTTGGACCGTTAATTATTTACTATTATTCATTTATAAATTTCCTTCAAAGCTTTTGTCAAACGTTAGCTAAACACAAGACTGAGTAAAATGGTAATTTTAGGTCATTGATACTATTAATTAAGTACAATTTCCAAACAATCATTTTCAATTCGACACTAAATCATAGTCTTTTAGTCATTCTGATGATCACTTAATCATTCTGCACTAACTAATCCAATATCTACCAAACAGCCCCTTAGTAATAATCCGTTATTGTATCAGACCTATAGCTCAATTAGCAAACGGACAAGACAACTTTGCCAAATAAAAGACAAGTGCTGGTTTTAAATGCTAATGCATATACTATTATTTTTACTGATAAAGCCTCCACGTGCAACTCACGTGAATGCAACATAAAGGCCGTTTACTGAACACTTACTTACCTTGGTAAGCATGTACTGGTTCAATACAGGTTGAACATGACAAGGACCAAAAATCTTACCCAGTAAGAACGAAAGCAAGGATCGAGAGCATTACCTGTAAATGAGGAAAATGACTCGTCATAAAAGCACTTACCAGGTTATAACCGCTTACCATCAAATCGATTTTGACAGCAAGGAACTTTACCACATAAGATAAGTGGGAGTGATGGCTCTTGCTAGTAAGCACTTGATAAACGGTCCCTTACTAATTTTGCATTTTCTTTTTGTTTATAAGTTAATAGTAAGTACAAGTATTTGAAACTTTTTAAAAGACTAAATTACCTTTGAGTCTGAGTTGGGATGGAGACGGTTTTTGATGAAGATGGGGGGTTTTGTTGCTGGCAGGAGAATAGATTACATTTTAAGAACTTGTACACTAATTTTTAATAAAAATAAGACCAAAAAAGACCCACCTGACTTGGCACATAATAGCATTTAACATCAACAAAACGCACGTTAGGGACAAGGACAAAAAAAAGTAACAGAAGGCAAACCACAGTAACAGTCCTTATAATTGAGATAGTATATAGAATATATACTACTTATATTCGGCAAAGCAGACTTGCACACACTTGCGATAACTTATGTTAGCAAAACCAGTTACTCACAGTTAACGTGGACCCATTAAGGCTCCAGAAGGCAAGGACAGACCGGTTAAGGGCCAAACTGGATTTGACCATATAGAGCATGTACCATTAGATTAGACCATAGATACAAGATGACTCCAACATTAGGAAATAAAAAGTCAGGTCACCTAAACTCTTCTATTGGAGTTAGACTTCTGAAATGAACAACTAAAAAAAGAATTGACACAACAGGAAGCAGAAAAAACAACTACCAATAACAAAAAACAGCACGTCATGAATGCTCTCACTGAATCAACTTCAGTGAATCAAACACATGACCTACAATTTCTACAAACGAAAAAAAAATACAACAAAAAAATAGAAAAAATAAAATAAACATGAAAAGCTCAACATCACTACTAAAACTCAGTCTACACTTTGGTACAAACTCATGTCCCTACATCAATTATCCAAAACCAAAAAATTGAAACAAAAACATAGAAATAGAGCAGGCATCCAAACATTCATGGAAAACATATGGTCAAACCTGCTTTCAATCACCACCACCGGTTGCTGCAGCCTGCATTGGCCTGTTTGATCTGAACCCGCGACCTCTTCCACGACTTCCCCTCCCACGACCACGCCCTGCAACCACAAATAAATCAATTTCAATTCACATTTAAATTTTTTGAAATTTCCAACCATTTACTATTTTTGAATTTCTGGATAGAAGAAAACAAGCATGTGAATGTAGAACCCATGTACTTCATGTGGAGAAAAATAGACAATCATCGACAAAAGTAGAGAACGAAGAAATCGTAAACGGTATAAAAAACCAAAATCATTTACATAATAAAGTAACTAGCTTCAGCCAGAGCGCTACCATGGCATGAACATAAAGTAATCACACAGATCAAATTAAGAGATAATAGTAGTTGTATAACAATGCATAAAATCATAAATATATGGGGTATTACCTGCTGCCAAGCTTCTTGTCGTATGACAAATGCTTAAAGTGGCATAAACGAAAAAACATAGTGGGTTAACCATAATGTCCCTCGTTTATCATCAAAACACATTATCATTTCCAAAAATCACTATATGCAAGGTTTTCAAAGCTGAAAATTACTTTTTTAAAATCAAAACATGTACGAAATTCCAGTGCTAAACATGATGTATATTATTAACTTGTATATTATATTTTCACCTTCATTACCCACCAGGAATGCCCCAACATTCCAACACCGACCCGTAATGAAATTAAAAATTCATACCCATTACCACCACTTGCTCATTATTCGAAATTCAGCACCATGACCTCTCAAGCTCTATCACCAACACATATTTATGCAGCAACCATAATGTTGGTTTGTGGTTTTAAGCAAATGCTTGGCCAGAGTTGTTTGAGGACAAATACAATGATAGATTTCTCAAAATTGTAGAACAATGTCAGAAATTACCATATTCGTCTACATTGGTTAATCTAAAGCTTATGTTTTTAAATAAAATCAGAAAAACCCAAGCAGGAAACAGAAAAAATTAGGCAAATAAGACCTGTATAATTAAACTTCAAGATCAAGAGTTTCCACTTTTATCTGATCAGTAAATAATATACAGACTTCAGCCATTTTCAGCAACCACCACAGCAGCAGTGGAGGTAGTTGGTTTCCAGCATCAGATACCTCCACTTGAAGCTTAAAATAGTTTTGAGTGGTCATAAAAATGCACCAACTAAATCAGATCTCAAATTAATTTCGGTTCAAGCAAAAAATCAAATGAGACTTGGTTTGAATAGCAGCACAACTGACATGGGGTGATGCCAGGTTCAAGAAGGCGTTCACTAACCTGACAGATAAGAATAACTAAAAAAGAAGTCAAAAGAGATTTAAATTAGATGCATATTTTGTAATGCTTTCTTTTAAGGTGAAATAAATTTATACGATTAGAAATTAGATCCCTCAAGAAACCAGAGAGTTCAGCCATAGTTTGTGATTCAAGTCATTTTGGCTGAATTTAGTATAGACAGGCCCAACAACAACAAAGCTTAAATTTGTGCTTTTTAGTTCTCATGAACGCTTGAAAAATTCTAATATAGCACAACAGCTTCGACAGGTACCCCTATATATATATTCCTGAAAAGTGACAAAAAGTTCAAATATTTCTTGCAACAGGTTCATGTTTGTAGGGACTGCCAAGAATATTTGCAAAAAGAAATGCACAATTGTCCAATAACAGTCGTCTTCTCATGCATTTGGGTGGATCCCATATGAGGCGTGACAAATATGTGTAAATATGCATACATACAAATATATACACACACATATATAAGGAAACATACACATATAGAACCGACCCAAACACGAGATGGTGCACAAGATGCAGTACTAAGTACCATTATTCAAAAATAAAAATAAAATCCTAAACATTTAAAGACACTATAAGTAAAGAATATTCGATCACAACAGATCTCTGGTATACAATTACCATAAGCACGCAAAACATTTTGTCTAAATTTTATTTTTTTGGTCGACTACTTCATACCCCGGAGAAAAAAAAGGTCAAATACAAAGAACGCCATAAAGTTTAGCTCACAACAATTGTATTTATGTCCAGGTTCTTAATTGTCATTTCCATATAGAACCACCTTTATATTTTGAATGTTATCTTATGTGAGACTTAGACAAACAGAGTAGAAATAAATAAAGGTTGGGTAATCGTAGTTGCTGGAAGAAATTTAATATAGGTTTTCATTTTAATATTTATTTGCATCGGCAAACTTTATTAGTTATGCAAATGTATGTTGATTAAAAATTAAGAAACTATAGTCAAATAAGAAAGCAAACTATATATCTAGTTTGAGAATCTCATTATAGTTGAAGAGGTTGTACCTCTCCCTTGCATGGGAAATTCTTGATTGTAACCTCCTGCATCTTGTTGAGAATCCATATATGGGTCATTATTGTAACCACCCCTTCCACGGCCACGAAAACCACGTCCCCTTCCCCTCGGAGATTCTTGATTGTACCCCCCAGTATCCTGCTGAGTATCCATATAAGGGCCATTATTGTAACCCCCCCTTCCACGACCACGGAAACTGCGACCCCTGCCACGAGGGGATTCTTGATTATATCCTCCTGCATCCTGCTGAGTATCCATGAAAGGGGCATTTCCATAGCTACCCCTTCCACGACCACGAAAATTGCGGCCTCTTCCTCGTCCCCTCCCCCTGGGATAACCACTTGGACCATCCCAACCCCCATCATCATACTCATCTGGCGCATAACCATTTCCTGCAATTATAACAAACATCCAAATCAGATAAAGGGTATATTTAGGAACCTTATGATAACTCAGTACCTCATAAGCATATAACTACTGATGCACCATCAACCAATAAATATATTTCCTGATAAATGAATGTAAAACTGAACTTCGGTAGTAAAGTTATACCGGGTACAGCTCTAGACCTTCCCCTTCCCCTCCCACCACGACCCCTTCCCCTTGCAGTTGGTGATCCCTCTGCAAACGCAAGTAAATAACCATAAAACTACCATACATCCATAGATAAACTACAGATAAGCAAAATATGTAGAATATTATACCTCCATCATATTCAAATTCATTCAACACCTTCACCTGGTCAGCAGGCAATGGTGGTTGATACCTGACAACAGATTAACTGAGGTGAATCTAGAGCAAAAAATACAAAATATCATATTGCAGCTCTGATGATAAAGAACATGTTTTTGAAGTACTACAATGTTGATTTTATCATAATCATCAAGAATCAGTGTTTGGTTTTACATGCAGTCACTTACTTGACAAACAATACACAGGAGAACAGTGAAGAAAAACAATGAGAGACATTCTGGGCTTCCTAGCAAGTATGTGCACACAGACAAAAGACCATCATACTTGGATTTTCATTCCAAGAAAAAGAAAAAAAAACTACACTTTTACAGTGAGCAGTTATAGGAAGGAAATAAAAATCCAAGTACTAGTTCAATTTTTTCAACTACAATCCCTTGATTTGTCAAAAGTAGCTCATGCTTCCAACCTAAGGAATTCTTTGGTGTTTTTTGCAAGACCAGAGAGTAGTTAACACAACAAAAAACCAACAAAAACTTGATCACTCCAAAAAAACGATTTAGCGAAGTCAAGAAAACCAATATGTCACAATGCAAGTACAAACAGAACCAAAGTAATTAGATTAAACAAATAACGAAACCCAAGAAGGTTTAGTTTCAGTACCAAGTACAGCTGTGACCATCAGACCAGAATTGTTTCCAATCAATCAATTGTGGAACATTGTATCAGAGTGAAATGAAATTAAGAGTAAATCAACTCACCCAATAGATGATGTATTCAACTCCTTCTTGGAGAGAGTTATGGTGATCATTGAAACATGCCTTGTGGTCTCAAGACTGCAACAAGAACATGAAGCTTACATAAATAAACTGCTCCAATGCACAATATCAAATACAAAATATGTTCTTTTGTTCTAATCTGATCTTACGGAAGTAATCCTTCCTCCAAGGGTTCCCAAGTGTCAGTTATGTCTGTGGATCCAATGGATGTATTTTGATGAAGACCAACAATTCGTCTCTACAAAACAACATTGCACAGTAGATCATAACTTGAAGTAAGATTATAGTGATAAATAGTAGAGGACGAAAACAAATAATTGAATGAATAGGAGGGCAAACCTTTATCAATTCCACAATTGTAACAGTCTTGTTGATGGCTCTACCCATTGCTTTAAACACAATTTCTGAAGAGCCTTTTTCCTAGGAAGCAAATAAGCATGCAAATAGTGAAATCAGACATTTGTACGGAACAGCTTACTAACAAATAATTAGTCAAATTAGAACTGCCAAATTCAATGGAAAAATAAATATCAATCTTTGTCAAATGAGAATGATAATTCATCAGTTAACAATTAACTTGATCAATTTAAGATAGGATTAGCTTCACACAATCAAGTATAAAAGATTTTTAATCAAACTCAAAAGTTAAATATACTTTTCATGGACATTCAACGTAGAGTAATTGATAATTTAGATGACACATTACTTTTACAAGCATAAAATACATAAGGTTTATTGTGAATTATTGACACCCTATAGCACAATAATTTGATAATAGCAGAAGGAAAAAAACAATAACCTCATGTTAACGAACCATGTATCAGATAATACAGTTTAACAGGTAAAAGTTAAGTTCAAAAGGATATAAAATAGACTGATATTTACTAAAAGCTACAACCCACTATGTTCCATTCTTCAGAGAAATGTGTGAAAGCTTCGTTAAAGATTATGAGAACGCCATGCATAATTCTATGCAACTAATACAAGTCAATCATGTTTCTATCAGCATCACAAATGCCCATAAATGGGTTGCATTCTCGTAGGACATTGAATCCAACCTAACAAGTACAACCAGCACAAACTTATATAACTTAGAAAAGATAAAGATACTAATAAGCTGCCAAATGCTGCTAAGCTAACACTCAAAATCTTCATACGACAACCATTGTTACTAATTAGGAGAAAAGAAATCACCTGAAGCAAAGTCATGGCATATGTGATATAGCTTCGCATCCTCCCCTGGCTAGTAATTCGGATTTCATTCTCATCAATTGCTTGCTCAGCTCTAGGTTTCTCGACCTTCTGATACCGATCCATCTTTCAAGATGATGCCCAAAAAATCAAAAACAAAATTTAAAACTTTAGTCTTCCACTAAACAACACAATTTATAAACTGAAAAACAGCAATGTGAAAAACTTTGGTTTCAGAAAAAAGCCTAATAAAAGAATGAAAGGAGGTAGCACGCAATCAACTATTAATGAAGGGGCAACGTAAAATAAGATAAGGCATCTCAACATTACCAGATTTACAGAAGCAACGTAAAATCTAGGGTTCCCTCGAAAAAAAATTGTAATTAATTATATAATAATGACATAGATAGGTGAAAAAATCGATGGTTGGAAAATTTTATAAGCACGTAAAACATTACAAAAAGTCTACTGACTCAAAAACAGAAGGAAATGAAATGCAGTTCATGGACTTTGCAATCGGTAAAAGAAAAAATACAATCAGGAAAATATGCACAAACTCGATCAATACGAATACTGAAACATCACAACTCTATTCCTCAATTTTGTATGATTATAACGATAATAAGCAAAAACTAGGTTTTTTCCGTAACACTAACAAAAGAAGAAAAAAACACAATCAAGACAAAAAAAATCAACAACAGATCGTCGCAAACGCAGGAAAAAGAACGTCATACAATTTAGAACATTGAATCTAACAAGTTCAAAAAAAATATCAGTAATCAGCGTTCACTTGTGAAATAGTGAAGATTAAGTTGTTAAAGATTACCGTTTGTTTGTTGGACGATCTGGATAAGATAGTATAGCTCCTTCCAAATGAAGAGCCCTCTTCTCCGGCTTCAATTTTCTTCGTTTAAGCCCTAAACCGTATGGCCATGGGAGTTTCTAGTATTTATATCACCTGTGCCCTAAACTCTTATCTAAACCGTTGAACCTGGGTTTGATTGTTTTCCAAATATGGGCCGAGCTTTCATCAAAATTTTGGACCAGGCCCACATTAAGTCCAAAATGGGCTAGCAACTGGTCCAGGTCCACTATGAATATGGCAAGGGTTTTTTCTTGAGAATTAAAATATAGTATTGTTATGTATATAATTACAATCGGTGCCCAATCAAAAATTTGATGTAAGTATATATTTAATGTGAAGGCCTTTATTAAACACTGTAGATTATTAGGTTATAACCTCAAAATAAAAGTTAATTGTCTTCTAAAACATCAAATAAGTCTCATTTTTATATTTTATTCATTTTTTAAATTTTATTTATTGTATTTTATGCTTTTTAAACTTTTATTTTTACTGTCCTTAAAGTATTTTACGGTTTAAGTTGAAAACATATGGTTAGACCAAAAGGTCTAATGGATTCTGATACAAAAATGCAAAAAAAAATGTGTATAGTCTATTTGGTTTGCAAGATTGTTCTTGAGAGATTTGGATTTTGATTGGAATGGATTTGAAATCATTGATGTGTTTGGTTTATAGGATTTGGAATGGAATTGGATTTCATCATTTATAAGTAATTTATAAAAATATATATAAATATCTATAAAAATAATTATATTACATTTTTATTAATTGATTATTGCAAAACAAATGTTTTAACATTTTCTAAAACCTTATTGAATACAATCCTACGAAATCCTCTGAAATCCCGATCCCAGAGGGTGCAGATACATAATAGGCATATAGAAATTATTGTACGTCAAATAACATCAAAAGTGTTGGTTTCAGAAGATGAAATGTCTAATGTTTTTTTTTTTTTGCCCAGAGAACTAATTGGATTGTTGCGAGCGGAACGCGAGCACCCCCTAAGGATTTCAAAATCCTATTTTTGTAACATTTCAGTTAAATCATAGGATTTCAAATTCGGAAAATCCAACAAACCAAACATGTGACTGGAATGGTTTTGAAATCCAAATTTCCCAAAATTCATTTCATTCCTACAAACTAAATGGGACCTTAATATAAGAAACAAAATGATTCACGCCCAAAATAATCATATGTTTCATAAACTTCAAACCCCCATGCTTAGCACAATGTTCATACTTGTCACTCCATTGTGACATTATAATCAAGGCCTAAGAAGATATTCGTGCAGTATGCTTATAAAACGAATTTATGTCATATTGAGTTAATAAACAACTCCCAAGGGATACCACTATCCTAAGGTACACTAAATCTATTGTGCATGCCCAAATACATAACCACAAATCATATCACATGTGATAAAACAATGCTTTAAAGATTAATCATTTGAATACCATGATATGAGAACCATAATGAGAGCTTTAGAAACATTATTGAACAATTCCACATTTAGAAAAGGGAGTAAGAGAACTCACATAAGGTTCACCACACCCTCACACCTTTTAACAATTAAATAAGCTCAAACTGAACACTTGAGTTAGATGACATAGGAGCGGTGTTAAACCATCTTAGATATCCTAAAAACCATCTCTTATGATCTCTAAGACAATCCCTTAATCAATGCCTTGCATCTACCCTTAATCGGGGAACGGAACAAAATCAAAGTAGCACAAAACAATGCTAAATGCGACTAGGGTCGCATGGGACTCACATTTCAACCTGTTTCGTGTTGCACGAGTTCTACAGTAAAATTCCTCAAAACCACTCATTGCCCAAATCTTCCCAACTCGATTTAAAGGTCTAAGAACGAGAAAATCAACGAAATCAATATCCAAGACCATTTATAACAACAATCTAAGTAACAAACTTGGTTTAATCCATCTAAAGGTTATGAATCCGACTTTCCAACTTGAAATCCTTGATTTCTAAATGACACCATTAAGAAGTGGTGGGTTTCTTGACAGAACGTTGGTAAGATACCAAGAACAAATCATAAACATAAAATAAATTGATTTCATCCTTAACACCTAAAAACAAAGATGAATCTCCCAAATAAAAATTAAAACTCCATTAATGGAAACATCAAGCTTAGAAGGAAGAGACCTTTACCTTAGAGATGGTGATTTCTTCCTTTCAACTCTTCACTCTTCTCCAAAAAAATCAAGAGAGCCACCTTCTGCTCAAACCTTCCCCTTCTCTCAAGAATTTATCTAAAATCGTCAGTATCATACGAGGGCTGAAATGGGCGTTACTCCCGTTTATTCTCGTATTTATCTAACCAATCCTTGCAAAAAGAAAGGAATTTACATCCACATCCTCAAACTTATGAGATTCACTAACTTAGAAAGTAAGGGTTATTATAGTCTTACCAAACGCTGAATGATTGTTCTGTGTCATCTTGTTCTGTTTTGTCATGTCCTGTCATGTCTTATCATGTATGGACACCATATACATCCTAAGCGTTTACCAGGTAAATTGTTGCATATGATACCGCTTTGATGCAATACAACCTTACCCAAGTTAAAGCATTGACTTTTACTAGTAAGTGTTTACCAGACAAATGTTTGGGTAAAAGGCTCATAAGTTGTAGTACAAGTAATTTAAAATAACTGTATCAACAAGCCATTGGTCCAGTGGAATCCAACAATTAAACATTTTTAGATATTAATGATCCTAACCTCGTCAAAGTTGAACAGTGTGTGAGTTTCATTTGCCGTATATAAACATCATGTATTAAAAATGATAGTAGTATTCCATATAGTTATTCATTGTTATTATATTGCATCCATCTGTATTTTTAGAATACTGGAAGGGTATTCGTGCAATGCAGCGAGATACATCTCGATTTTATTGTTTCATTTTATTCTTTATCTACTGATATAATACAGTTTTATATGGTTTTGAGAAACTGATAATGGTTTTATTTTTGAATAAAATATAAATTTGAAGATACTGTAATTAAAATTTTGGGAAAAAAAATATCGATATTAGTATACAATCAACTATTTAAAAATTTATCGTTTTTTGTGTAACTTATTTGATTCAATTATTTATTATAATTTAATTTTGGTCTAATAATGAATCAATTTATTCGTGGTTTAATAATGTAATTTTTTACAAATACAATAATTAAGCATTCTATTAGTTTAATGACGAATCAATTTATTTTTGGTTTAATAATATATAATCTTTCATAAAGATAATAATTTAAGTATTCTACTAGAACTCAACAATTATCCTAATTATATTTTAGATTTTTAAGATTTTATATATTTAAAATATGATGTTTATCTTGTATATGATTATGTTTATTTGCAATTAGTTACACGAATTCAAAAATGAAGGTTTAATAAATTGCACTATGCACAATTTACTTGTAATCCCGAATTTTAAGTAATATGCATCAACAAACAATACTTCCAGCATAAAAATGATTTTTAAGAATTTTTGTCAAATATTTTACAATATAGTATAAATAATCCGTTTACTCATCAACTTGGTCAATGTCGGAGCTACATAAGCACCAAGGGGTGCATGAGATCTTGATGAATTTATAATAAAATTGATGTAGATGTAAAATGAGAAGTTATCGATAAATTTGTATTTTCATTTGTGTATACAGTGCTCATTGTTCAACGATACTTGATAAATGACCTTATTGGAGGTCAGTAGTTCACACTTCGCCATAAATGAGGAGTTTGGGTTTTGTTGTATACAAAAATGATTTATTTAAAAAATATATTTTACAAAATCGAATACTTAAAAATATTTGATACAATACCAGCTAAATAAATACAAAAGTTTGCTTATCTCCAATTTTAGTGTTTGGATATATATAAAAAAACCCCTTAGCAGTAGGATAGAAACTATATTCTATATAAAACTGAAATTGATTTGTATTTAAATTTTTCCCAAGCAATATAAATATACGTTAATCAATAAGTAACATGCACAAATATGTATGAATTAAGCGTGTCAGGAATGTTTGAAACTCTTTTTTTATGAATAATCTACGGATCTTGAATTCTATCCTCAAACATGTGACGAAAAATACATGTGAAGATCACATTTTCGTCTGCTTTGTACGAGACGTGTGATCAAACACAGATCTTTTCGATTTATAAGACAGAAATGACTTAACATAAAAATGATATCCTCAATAAGCATTAAAATCAAAATATCATGTTTGTTGACTTGCTTAGAAGAACTGATCTCATTTACCAAATTAATGACTCAAGAGTTCAGATTTTAAGAACGTTCTGCAATTTTTAAGTATACGCGTATGTATATATATATATTCCCATGGGATCAATGACACCTTACGCATATATATCTTTAGTATCTTTGCCACATGCCAAAGCATAAAAGTGACATTTTAAAGGTCACGCAAAGCACTATCGTTTTTTTGTCTCTAAAATGGCCATCAATCTCTCCTCATATCGCATCCACACATAATCAATTGCTTGTTATTGAATTTTGAGTGGGTTGTACATCTTGCAACAAATGCATGTACATTCGTATATTCAAACGTTATTTTTAAAACAAAAACATGAACATTACAAGATCGATGGTTTTCATTTATTATTATTCATAATCAAACAGATGTTTCTCTATAAAATATTAGTTATTCGAAAATAAGATAAATGAATAAGAAATGATGGGGTAGGCATGGAGATCGGGTGGAGACCTCAATCCACATCCCCACCATTGATCCCCAATCTCCGCCCCCCCCCCCCCCCCCCCCTTCCTCCGTAAAAGGGGGGGAGGGGAGGGGAGGGGGGGAATTAAGATCACAACCACATCCCTATCCCCAATTTAATATGAGATATTTTAAATCAAATGCGGTAAACACCTTACTCGATTGATACCGGTTTTCGTTTAAATCTCACATATTTTTTAAGATTTGTTTTTTTTATGGAGTATCAAATATTTATATGTGAATAAAATCACAACACCGTACGTAATTGTTTAATCAAACTCTTTCGACTTTCAA